TGCCACATCAGTGGCCATTGACATATTCACACAGCTTGTCTGACTGGAACTCCTACTCAGGCTGCTGTTTGATGAGCTAGTCTAGCCCTTGATAAAGTTCATAGGGAATAGGCCCTGCCAGGAAGCACTGTGAAAACACTTTTAACTGTATCACATGTACAAATACTAAGCAACTCAGCTTCTTTCGTAACTTTTCCATGTTGACCAGGATGAACATAAGAGTGTACTTTAGGGCCTTGTCGCTGCATCGAGGCGGGGCAAAAGAAGCTTCTGAAGGCCCAAGTGTGTTAGATAACGTTACATCTCTGCCCCACATTTTCGTTGCATAACACTCCTGTTCGCCAATTCGTACACAGCAGCAGGGAAAACCACCGATTTTTCCGCGGCCACTATCTACGCTCCGTCACTCTCCTGTAATAGCACGATCCGTGCCAGGACGCTTGCCCGCTCCTGACTCCGACGTACGTGCATTTATGTATTCACCGCCGTTTGTCCTCAAATCAAACGGCCTATCGCTAGCCCTCGGCCCGCCCTTATCCAGTATATGCAACTCCTTCAAATATCGCAAACGCCTTCCAATTCGCTTTTAGTGCTTCCTCCCCTCTACGTTCTGTGGAAAGAGGCGTTGCCTCTCATCTGGGGAGACCAAGATAGTGTCAGGTTCCGTGGTTACTACCCATTGATCCATCTTCAGTATTGCCGCGCCCAGTAAGTTCGCCTCACACTTCTAGGCCCACCCGTTCGAGCGCCTCTGTTGTTCATCCTCGCTAGTTGGCGTCCTGGTGAGTGACGCTTCCTTTGACGACTCACACCCTACTCGTCGTGTTGCGCAGTTAGCGGCATAGTAGTCCCTGCCTCCACACTGGAAGCATAAGTCCCCTGACCCCCGCTGAGCACCGTTCCGCAGCGGGCAGTCTTAACCGAAGTGTCCTCTGGTGCTGCATTATTACAACCATCCTCGCCTGCTCTTGCTGATCTCCCGCGGTCGAGGTTGGGTAGCAGCTCACGCTGCGGGAATCAACGTGATGCCGTTGGCGACTGGCTCAGTTCCTGCTCGCCCTGTTGGGCCTGACGTCATGCATCGTCCAAGCACGGACATACTTGTGGTAATATGTGCATGCTTGGTATCAGGGGGTCTCCGACCTGTGGCAATGCAGCTGCCGTGTCCCCCCAGTTGGTAAATCGCTGTGTCGTTTGTAAGCGTTTGGTGTCATCCAGCATGTTGGCTAGGTAGTTTTAAAGCAGTTCCTGCAGCAGTGGTACTTACATCTAAGGACACTCTTCTTGAAATCCAAACCGAGTATTCACCATCATGTGTCCATTGTCTGTCAGCTCAATTGAAACCCTCTCTCGTGTATTCCTACAGAAGCACATCAAGAAGCATCCTCTTAGGCCCTATCATGACTCAATATTTAGCTTCGTTTTTTGTAGGAAGTTCTGCATATCACGTTCGCCTTCATCTGCAATTGTCTGATTACACTGTGGGTTAGCTGGAGTAGTCGGCATAATCATGATGCCGCTGTGGAGGGGTCACTGACGACCTGTTCACGTCTCGCCTGGCAAGGAAGCACTTATTTTAACAATAATCTTTGAGCTGCAAAACCTCGGAGTCCAACAGACTGACTCTCAGGCAAAGTTGTCCGTCTCTTGTGTTTCCACCCGCACAGCCCTAAAGGGCGGATGGGCATATACCAGCCTGCCATCCAAGGCTTTTTGTCTATTCGTTTGAGTCAGTTTCTATTTAGAGTTTGCGCATTATCTATTTTCACCTCTTCAGACTCATACATTTGCGGACAAGCTCATTATATGGTAGTGCTCTGCCCACGTCGCACCGCCGCTGTATTGGTTGGCGCCCTCAAGCGCTGTTGGCCAAAATCTTTCTCACCCCCTTATATTTTTTTGTGCCACCGAGTTAACAATTTGGTTTTCTCATTCTTTCAGTCATTTTCGGTTTTGCCTAGCAGGAAACAGAGATAGACTGGAAACTTTTCTGCTGCTCTGTAGGCAATTTCTCGTACCTGAGACAGTGTGTGTTGCAATGCGGGGAAAGATGTAATGGGCTTGGCAACACACATACAATTTTTACTGCATTGCTTACGCGTAGCTAAGAATTAGCGCAAATTGCTTAATTGGCTCGTCCGATGTATCTTACTTGATACAAATTACTGCCACTCTCAGTCATTGTAGATGGCCCTAAGAAGTATTACAAAACCCTGCAGAGCTCGGCCGCACCACCAGCAGGCTCAAAACTGTACGCCAGCTAGCTCTTCCGCCATCCTATTGCATCCTTCCACGGATGCAGGCCCCTAAGGACAGCGTGGAATGGCGCTTGCTGAAGAGTTACGGTGTTATCTCGAGCCCTAGTGAAACAATGTGGTAGCAAGGGTCTCCAGCGTGGGCTAAGAGCGCGCCTATGGAAACCACAAGCTCAAAGACCACTTTTAAAGCAGTGTAAGAAGAAACACGAGCCATGCTAGTTCAATACGCGTGTTGAAATCCCAAACTCGTTGTTAACCCTGCTCGAGCTGCCTATGGCACTTGCAAAGCCCACCCTGAAATAATGAATCTTCTTTGTTCCTGCAGGAAATCAATTCAAATGTACCATGGAGGTACCTGCAGTGTTAAGATCTGCTGCCGCACTTCCACGCCCACTGGGCCGGTAGTAGCTGCACGCCTGTAAGTCAGACAACACCAAGAACAGGAACCTTCACTGCCATGGAGGATTCGGTGCCTGAGACGAACAGCCGCCGCTATGCAGAATCAGTATTTAGACTATTAGGTCATCAAAAAACTTTATGTGCCCCGTTGCATGCCAACCAAGTTGGTACATTGGGCTGATGGATTTCCTATTTTAAAAATGGCCAGGTGGGAGTCACAGCCGCTTGAGCCACAAGGAGCCAGCTGAGAAATATGTCTCTTGTGTGATTTTTTTCTCCAATTCTGTTCGTTGTTCGGTTAGCGGTTCTTGTTCTAAGTAGGCAACGAAGAATCAAATAAGCTCCAAAATGACATGCTTCCCCACATTTTCCCAAGACCCGCAGCTGCATGTACCTGCAGATCTATAAGGCCTGAGGGCCCTCTAAGACTGTGGATGTCGACCTCTCCTAGCTTGTAAAGTGTTATGGCGTAGAGTGAGTTATTTACTGCGGAGAAACCAGCTGAAGGTGCAGCTTTCGTCTTAGTTTACTCCAGAAAAAGCCGCCTAGCAATAATGTACGGAGGGGTTCTCCCACGAGTTCGTTTCGTAGAAGTGCATAGACTGGCCTTTAGTTGCCAATAATACAGCTGCGTATGCAATCGCAGGGTTATTTCACTTCACATTTGGCTTCGCATCATAGTTATGCAGCACCTGTCAGTACACGGGAGTGTTCGGCATCGTGCTCACTCGGACAAGTACGTTTTACAGCTCCAGCCACAAACCAAAAACAGAACCAAAACTCGTTCATTGATCTTTGTTTGCAGATAGTACGTAGTGAAGGTTATTATAAATTTTGGCTGGTCGTAGAAGTATTTATTTGTAGATGACAAGAGCTTTAGCGGGGGCATCAGCTGTCAGATCCCACGAAATTCGGGTGAAGGCTTTTTGACATCAGCTTCACACACTGAAAGCATTGCTGATGTCCATGCTGTTATTCGAGAAACGGTTCCATTTGTAAGTTCAGAAAGCACGGGATAGGTTCGACGCCGTGTCTTGCACTTAGGCGTCTTGCCAAGACGAGTGCACCCTAGATGCTGCAGCCAAATCCGGCAAATATTCGTATTATAAGATTAAACTTATTGGTCAACACAGCTGGATAGTAACCATCTATCTGAGTGTCGATGGATGAAGTATCCTCACACCGTTGGATTTTGCATCTTTCGGTGTGCTGGAAGCGTTGAAGCTTATTCGCTGGCAAAATCAAAAGAATGTATCCGTTCCTCACTTAGATCATTTACATTTTATTTCTAGCATCACAATTTTTATTTAAAACAAAATTAAAGTCTCTAATAGTTGCCAGTAAGAGAGTGCGCGCCCTAAGCCATGCAGAAGCTTCACAGTCCTGTGATGCAATATCTGCGGTCTTGTCGAAACCATTTTCCGTCATTGGGCCATGTAACACAGTTTTGTCTAGCAATTACACTCGTATCCTGTTTTGTGCAGTTCAAGCGCACATTTGTACATAGAGGGTTGTGGTGCATGGAGTGAGGTAGCTCACCACCCTCATGCCAAATTACCGATAACACCGAAATTCACTGCGTGCATAGCATCTGCGCGATTATCTGAATAATTCTAAGCTATACATTTAAATGTCTAATGTCGTATTACAGCGAAATAAAGGAGTGCACTGTCGAACGTCAGATCTTCGTTACACTTATTCTGGAGGCCTTTCCGCTTGTGTTACAAGGCCCGGATACAATGTGGCGCTCCGCCTCATATTCAATGAAAGATGAATAATATATAACTTTTCATTAAGCACTGGAATATCACGCTTTCACATTCCGTTGGCTGACACTCCAGAGCTCCGTCAGATCCATCTGTGCTCAGTGAGACTTAGCCCTCAAACAGTGCTCGCTGCATGCCAGCCCTAATGTGCTCTGCAAAAAGCGCCATAGCTAGAGTGCTTTATTTGACATAAATAAAAGAGAGCGAAGAAATGTCTGCTTTTCAAAGTCAAGGCCCATGCGCATCTATTAGTGGATGGTCCTTCATAGAGGCGGACACATGGGCATAATGCTTTCTTACTTCGGTGCCTTACCTTTAGCTACCCAGATGCTGCTCAACTCGGTGGTACAGCCTGCCTAAGCTATTGAGCTGTGCAGATTCTCCGCTATGCCTGTAAAACCACTACGCCATCCAGCGAAAGCTCTCTGGCAATCCAACGCATCGCTACTGGTGCACTTGGAAAAAGAGGGTGGGCTATTGCTCACCGTCAGAAAGTTTTTAAAAATGCTTGCGCTGGTTTAGACTACACCATATAAATACGAATCTGTTCATTCTTAAAGCTAGCTTGGTGTAAGCCATGGCAAGGACACGCCGTAGCAGTGTCTCTGCAGCCCACGAACTTTCCTTGCCGGAAAGTCATCCGGACTCCCAGGGATTTACTGGTGGTCGTCTTACTTTAAACAAGGCAGAACCTAGAGTGTCTGTCAGTGCGGCTCGTGTAGACCGCATGGGCCTTCATTTGTCCCTAACGATCCCCTTTGACTCTTCTGTCGCACCAAAAGCAGGAAGAAACACATGTAGAGAGGCTCCAAAGGAGACCACGTTTTCGCGTCAAAACCCCCCCACTGATCCAACAACGTGGCGCAGAACGGCTTACTCCAAAGGATCTTTGCTGCACCCTACCGGAAACGTATCCGCTCATTCTACTCGTCAAGCAAGCCAGAAGGCGAAAGAAGCACAGGCAAACAAAGGCTTACTGAAGACAAATGGCCATGGTCGCACTCGCGCAGGCACACCGATGCGTACGATAGAGGCTGGCATGCCAGCCAACACACGTAGCACCCCTTGGACAAATGGTGCTTCACCGTCACACACCGCTACTGCATCATTGAGAGAGACTCCATACAATCTTAGAGAGAGATGGACAGCTGTGCGGGGGACCAAGCTACATGAAGAAGATTTAGTATCATTTCCATGCGTAATATGTAGCACTCGTGGCAAGCGAGCACGAGTGCGGCAGGTGTCTGCTAGTTCCTTGTCAGAAAGCGCGCTGAGTTCGCCTGCAATGCACCATGATACAGCAAATGGGCGTGCCTTTTCTTCCACTCAGATGCCTGCCCGGGGCTTGGGCTCTAGAAAATATAGTGGCACAATGCTAACCAAACAAATTGCAGGCCTCTACAAACTACTGCAAATTAGTCAAACTTTATATGCAAAACAACGTCATTGTAGAGCAGGTTGTAGGAACGATACGAGTAACGGCAGCATGGGTGCGCGAAGACATAGTTCAGAGAGCCCTGGATACTTCGCTCACCCAATAGTAACGCAATGCTTTGACTTTTGGAAGGCTGGTACAGGAGGACTGGGAGCTTCCGCAACAAAAGTCATAAGCTGCCCTCTCAGGAGCTATCCGAAAAATGCATTTTGGGTGGGGCTTACCCTTTTGGTAAGCTTTTGGAGGGGGGGCTCCGGGTGGTATTTCTGGCTGCTTGCAGCTGTATGCTCCGCGCTTTTGGAGCCATTCAATTCCGTAGTCCTTCTTGAGCATGGTAGCCACCTTACACGCGGCCAGTTTTATCTTACTGAGTCTCCGGAAGTGCTTCAGCAGTGCTCGCAGCTAGGACGCATCTGCATAGAAGCCACAAGGGAGGTTTGTGGCCTTCCCGTTGACTTACCACTGCATGAATGCATATATCTTGGTCATGACGTGGCAGCAAGAGACTCTGGTGGCTTTGTCGACTACGCCCAAACCTCAGGAAGTGCATCTCAAGGAACGCTTGCTTTGGCACAGCTGCTCCAAGGGGTGGCTTCGTTCGTATTGCCTCAACTGCCGTCCGCCTTAATACCTGTACCACCCGTTCACGGCACTTTGGAATCGGAGGGTGACACACTTCTGCAAAGCTACTTTCCTTTGTATAATCATACAAATGACCCCGGACGACTAGTGTCAAGCACAAATGCTGCATATATAATCCCGGACAAGACTGGCCAGCTAGGGATTGCCCTAGCTCGCCGCTCATCGATCTTCGCAATTGCCATGGAAACGCCTGAAGCAGTGAAACCGGAGGGAGAGTGTGCCTCTCCAGAAGTGCGCCACTTTTCCGTGTACATACAAGTGGATGATGAACATCGCTCTATGTGTCCGTCATCCTCCAGAGATACATTACATGCGAAGACGCACGCGAAATCCCGTGGTCGGTGGTGTGAGGTCGGAAGTTTTGAATATCGATGCTCTAGCGTAAGAGCTCTGCAGGTTTTTTGCCTGCATACTCCGCGTCCAAGTTCAAGACCGGCAAGTCCCTGGACTACTACCGGCAGTGGCGTTTGCAGGGGCACAACGGGGTGGCAAACCGAACGAGTCTTCATTGTACTGAAAAGTAATTGGGGAGCCGATGCAACCCGTGTGCATAGACTTCGGGTCTTGGCAAGACCCTCACCACCCTAATGGATATACGTTGCTCAAAGATCATCTATCTGACAGTTCTTCTGGCCTCTGGAACCAACAAAGGAATAACACACTCCTCTCAGCTTCAATGCAATAAATCCAGCTGATGCTCACAACCAAGCAAGCTCTAAAGGCCCCAACAGCCTCAAAGCAGCCCTACAAGGCTCGACCATTTTTACCAGCAGGCTCAAAAATTCGACGCCAGCTAGCTCCTCTGCCGTCCTAGTGCATCCGCTCACAGATACAGGCCCCTAATAACAACGCATTCTTGGGATGACGCTCACTGATTAGTCCAGTGGTATACCGGGCCTCCACAACGCAATGTCGTAGAGAGGGTCTCTAATGCGGGCAGATTATGACTGTGTCGAAGTCTCAAATCTATTAGTCACAATGTGCAGTCTTCATATAAATGATTTCAAGAGTTTATTCCAAAACCGCCAATCTTTGGACCTGGTTTGGGAACTGAGAAATCAATGCAAATACTCCACGAAGATGTCACTGAAATTAGTTTCTGTTTCTACCCTTTCACGTTCAATGGGCCGGCTGCTACACGCCTGCAAGCC